AAAAAAGATATCTGAGTTATCGACCACCGATCGCATCAAAAAAGGTAAGGATACGTTTCCCGCTCCACCCATTACTAATATGACGCATTCGATAATAGATCAACCAGAATTTTCAGTTGCTTCTACTGATATACCCATGGCTCTGGAGATCGAACACGCAGAACTAGTAGACGATAAACCTGAACATTCTTCTGAGATTATCGAATCAATAAGTGATGAAGCCAGACTATTAGTGAATGATGAGCCCGAGATATCTTCCGACTTACCTGCGAACGACGAACTAAAATCCAGCAATAAAGAATCCCACAACCAATCGAGGCCGTACGGCTGCGGTACCGCTAAAACATATTCATCTGGCTATTTAACCCGGGAGCAACGAGAGGCTCGTCTCCGTCAAAAAGCTATTGAGCTTGGCGAAGATCCTGATAAATTCGTTACTATAACTAAAAAAGATAAGCTCGATTCCATAGCATTCCGTGATAGAATGCAGACTGATGCGAGAATGTGTGGTTATGCGAAGGAGGCTGAAGAAGATCCCAGTGAATATATGGATATGACAGTGCGGGAAAGATTAATAAGTGAAGAAATAATCCGTCGTTCTCTCGAGGAAGATGGAATCATCTCATCATGGCTGGATACTGACGAGGACTGGAAAAAAACTGTTAACATACTCCAGGAAAATGGTATGTTATGGTAATTAGGGGCTTAGATATAGGGAGATTTTTTGCTCCTACAAACTAGTTAATATAAAATTTTCAGATAAAAATATTACGTAAACTTTGTGTTATATATACTGGTTTTGTGACACTTAAAATTAGGGATTTATTCATCTGCTTATATTCTCTGCGCCTTTTGTCTCTCATACCAATTTCGGCGGTACCGCTGAAAAAATTGATAAAGGGGGGCTTTTTTGTCCCTTTATAATTAGTCGTATATAAAAATACATCAAATTAATTATCCAAACATTAGTTGTTTTTTCTTCTGATTAAAGATATTCAGATGATAAATGGTCGCGACATTTGGCATTTTTGTGTGGTACCGCTGTAACAGAACCGCTCATCAATAATTATTTTGAATTGAAAAGATATTCGTCATAGTTATAGTCCCATGACCATCCCATAAACACAATGTCGAAAATCGCCACAAATTTCGTAAATCAATACAACCTAACCCCTCAGATGAGCGTAGTTAAGCTTAGTGGTTACGCCGACGAATTACTCAAACAATTGAAAACCCCCAAAGCACGGGGTCACGCACGAAATCGAATCCAGAAATTAGGATTTAACAGAGAGCAAACATATGCTTTAATTCCTGTCCAAACTTCTGGGAGGCGTGTTATAGGAAGAGACCCCGTTAAAAAGCTTGCTCAGTATATTAAGGAGAATGAAGAAGATCTTGACCCAGAAGAAATATACGAATTAGCGTA